AAACGACTTGACTGAAGTAACAGTATGAACGTGATCCGACCTATTTTAATTTTGACCAAACTAAGAAAACATTCTCCATTATGTACTTTGTACTATTTAAAATTGTGTTAGTTTACTTTAAAATATTGAGATTTCCCATATTGTGGATTAGAACCACATATGTATAAACAAACCATGAGGACATACTTGTAAACTTGTTTATTTTTTCTCTAAAGTGGCTCACACTAGGTCTCGAAACGTCAAAAATCTAATTTTCTTCTCATTAGGACAAATATACTTTTTCTATTATGTATTATGTGAGCCTAACCGTCCGGGTACCTCAATGACCAATCTTTGGTAACACAGTAAAAGGTTAGAGAAAAGGTAGAAGCGGCCAAACCATAGTATTAGTTCATGAAGTCGCTAGCTTTTGATCTAAGTCATACTGATGCAATACTCATTTGTACCTGGTTTACGTTAAAACTTACTAGCTGTTGTCACAAATGTACTGAAACAACAAGAAGTTTCATTGATTTTAAAATTATTGAAGATCCATAAATGATCGATCTCGTAATATAGGTAACGGACTACATAACTATAAGTGTGTTTTGTGATAAGCATTGTTTATTTATCGCAATTTAATGTAAATGGGTTCAGATCATTGAGTTACTGCAATGGCGTTATTTGAATCAATTAACTCTCAGAATCTCCTTTGCTTGTATAACTGGTTTTGTAACTCAATTAATATAAATAGTCTTCACCCACATTCACAGTTTAAGCAAAGCTTACTAAACTCCATATAATCCTCTAGATGTCACATTACCTGCAGCTTTCTTCAGAATCCATAAATCATCGAGTTTGTGTAGAAGCTATATTGACCAGCTATTGAATGTTAAGCTTGGTTGAAAATAGCTATACCCTCACTTGAATCTTCCCTTGAAAATGTAATATTCAGCCCTGAATTTTTTCACGTTCGGTTTCGAATTTGTGTATAATTATGTAGTTTCGTACTTGATTGGTAAATTTACTAGAATTCCAAGTAAAAGTTTATTGACCGTTCTCTGTTCCAATTATTTTTACATAGTACTCTTTTCCGGCTTTTTTCTGAACTCTAGTACATGTTATAATATCGTAATATTTCATTTTACTATATTCATCTACACACTGGTCATACATTTTATTGTTTACAATCTTATATCTATAGCATTTAAATATGTTTTATAATACTCTTCTTCATTGTATAAATACTTCAAACATGAAGGTCATTCGTGGTTTGAATAGCTAAATAAGTTATGATGCTGGTTGGTACGAGATCAAATACCGTGGTAATCATAGATTTCTCAACATCCCACTTTGAATTTCTGCAACAAACTTTATATATACATAGATAAGGTAAATTCATTGGGATATAACAAAAATATAATTATTTTTTGTGAACCATTGAGATCACGGACAAGGAGCTCAGTTGAAATACCATTTATTTAGGGAAAATGCATCTTACCAAACTTCCTATGGTGCTTCGTATTTATCTTTATATAGTAACGATGCGAGCAGACACAATCTGCGTATATGATAGTCTTGCTACATAAACTTTCAGGCAAATTATGTCAAGATCACCACTACATACATACAAAGATTCTTATGCTAGACTTGTTTCTCTTCCTTAATCATAATTTAAGATCAGGGTTGTAATATTCATTGTAGTTGGTTGTAAACTTATTGACGACACCAGTCATATAATTGTTTCCTTGTCACTGAACGCGATAAGGCATTGTTTGTTCATTGAGCATATCCATTTTCTTAACTATTTCTAGAGAAATAACCACCGGAATTTCCTCGTCAAACCTTTTGTGGCTAATCATGTATGATTAAATATCTGATGTTTGCACACCTGATATCTACCATGAAACGAAGTTGTTAAACAGACCTCTCAGTAAATCCGGACGAGTTCTGTTATATAACCGGGAGAACCTCGTTGGACTATATTCTGATGCTAAATCAATCAGTACCAGCCGTCTAATCGCAGTTTCAGTATGATTCTTTGATTTCTAGATGTATATTGAGTTGCATGTTTCCCAAATATTAATAATTCTTAATGAACGCCTGGGTCCCTTATATACCTTATATACCATGGCTCAATGGATAGAAGTCTCTTCGAGGCTTCTGGAACGATGGCAGACCACGTCTCTTTTTCGACAGAGTATTTACTTTTCTACTAATATAGCTACTGTGCTTCTAGAATTTTCTGGACAAGGTTATGCCAAGTGACATAAATGCACACGATTTCCTGTACATACCTGGAATTTGAGTAAAGCATTTTCCTACTTCGCGCCTTTTCTCTTGTATTGTCACTTAGATTTAATCTGAAATCACTAAAGGCGGCTAGGGAATCGGATCCATTGGTAGACTTATCAGATTTATTTTTAGAGTTTTTGTCGTCTTTCCAGACAACGTTACGTATTTAAGGTAGAAGCTGTTGCAAGTTTCAACATTTGAATTTGCGTTTGTTCATGAGTTTAATACTATGTAGACAGTTAATTTCTAATAACAGTCAGCACATAGATCTTTCTCAGTGGTAGGCCTGTCAAAGTTTCTCTTCGCAAACTACGGTGAAGGTTGTACATATTTGTAAATTGTTGCTAGTGCAGTTAATAAGTTAGCCTTTATGAACCGCTTACCAGCACAATAATTGAGTCTTCAGTTCATGATTTTGTTGATGAACACATACATAAATTTTGGATTTTTTCTTCGTTTTACAGAGTGGAGTTTATGTAATTGAATATTTTCCCAGTTATCCCGTATTAGCTACGATACTAGAAATCGATATTCTCTTCTCTGTATTTTATTAGTAAATTAAAAATATTTCTTCAGTCAGCGAGTTCTTTTAAACAAATTTTATGTCTGTTGTTTTGCTGGATAAACGTGAAGTAGTTGAGTGTGTCGACCGCTTCACTTATCTTGGAAGTCTGATCAGCCCTTGGGGTTTGGTGTGTGACGAAATCTCAGCACGGATACAGAAGGCTCGACTAGCTTTTGCCAACTTGCGTCATTTATGGCGTAGGCGAGGTATCCGTCTATCAACCAAAGGACGTGTTTACTGTGCAGCAGTTCGTTCCGTCCTACTTTATGGCAGTGAAATATGGCCGGTAAGAGTAGAGGATATCCGTAGGTTACTAGTATTCGATCATAGGTGTCTTCGAAACATTGCTCGGATATCATGGGATCATCGAGTAAGTAACACAGTTGTTAGGAAACGGGTACTAGGTAAGGACGGCAAGTCGATTGATGAAGTAGTGAAACTTGATCAGTTGAGATGGCTGGGACATGTGTTACGTATTCCAACCACCGACTGCCCCGACGTGCTATGTTCAGTGGTATAGGAGTAGGTTGGAAGAAAGCTAGGGGCGGCCAGACCAAAACATGGCACAAGTCCATGAAGTCACTGACAAGTGAACTGAGTCATGTTGGTAGGTGTAGACTACCTGGTTGGGGACTGCAAGATGATAGCAACCGATGGTTAGAGACCCTGAATGACATGGCTCAAAATGGTTTGCAATGGCGCAGGTGCATCCACTCTCTGTGTTCTCCCAAATTCTAATCTTCTGAATTCTTCCCGATTACTGCTTATGCTCTTATTACCTCTACCACTACGGGATTTGAATCGACAACTGCATCTCTGTGCTAATGTGGTGTGGCAACTCGAACTGATGTACGTACGTACGAAGTTCTACGCTGTTACTGACTGGATAAACGCAAGGATATTTCATTGTTCCCCACCTTTGATTTACTAAAGGTGGAAACGTACTCATTAGTGATATGAATGTCCTATTCGTTATCTGCGAAATCTGTGGGAGGTAAGGTCAAGTGATTGCCTGGATGCACGAAGGTACAGTCAGTGCGATGATTGGCCGCATTTAAATGTCCATTTTGTGCATTTTTGACCAAACACAATCAACGTTTAGTCAATTGAATTTTTCTAATGTTGGTTTCCCGTTGGTACTCAAGCTGTTTAGATGAGCTTGCTAAAAGACATTCAAGTTTTTGAGTAGATGAGTCCATCTGCTAGGATTTTTTGTAGTGTTCATAATGCGAGCCTAGAAATCTTCCTGTGAAATTTGTCATTTAGTTTGTTAATGAGTTGAAATAAGTGTTAATCAGATTTTCTTTAGCAAATCTGCAGTATGTTCGAAGCTCCATAGATGTTTTCTGAATGAATATGTACGATAACCAAGAGGTTGTTGATATATACCATGGAAAACTGTAAAGAACGTATTATTTCTCAACATGAAAGTCACATTGTTCATATTATCAATTTAAATATTGTTCAGACTAATTACATCGTAATTTATAAATTTTTCATTCAGTCTCATCAACGAGAAATATTTCGATCTAAACGCGTCATCATATTTACCCATTGTTTGTCTCAGTGGTATGGATCTAAGTAATACAGATTAAAAGTGCGCTGCTATTTAGTAGTTGGTGAGTAAACGACTTCCTACCAGCTTGCTTGAAATTACGGCTGTGACTTTAAAACTGATAAACATCTCATAAGTAATCTGATAAACTGTTAAGTGGATTTTATAGATAAGATATTTTTGCTATTGAAGGACCAGAAATCACATTTAAATGTCGTATAGCGGCTAAGCCTGTCTATCTGCACCTTTTTACTTGCAAGTACAACTAATCCCAGTAGTTAGAAATAATATCATCTATAGTAACCAACTGCCAATGGAACACTAGGTTAGGGGGTTCGTCAACAAATTAAGGAGCACTACACTTATTCTGACATAGTTTATTGATTTTCATTTTAAAAAAAAACTCGAATTGATGAACAACTGTTTTGTCATACATACAAACTAATATTTCTATTATATAAAAATTTTCATTGCCAATCTATGGATGGCATCAAGCCTGTTGTTTTAATTCTTTGACTTCATTTTCTCGCCAGCAGACGGAAGTGATTGTTGTGTGTTGAAATTGATGAATGTTAATGGTTCTTGCAAATTGTTAAACTTTCCGTTTTATGATTTCCTAACGAATTTTCGTAAAGCAATTAAAAAAATAGAAAGATCTTTGTTTATTTTAAAGAAAGTGAATTTCCTTAAGATTTTGTGTTTGTATCTAAATACGCTTACATTCATTGAAGCCACAGTGAGTAGTGATGACAAGAATATCATACCAGAAAAACGGCGTAGACCAGCAGAAATATGGTGCATTATAAATAGAATCGGATGATCAGGTCATTCTGAATAATTGTGAAAGATGAAATGGTGTATAAACTTATTCCTTCTGTGCAGCTACGTTCTTAGATCGTATATTAAGGCCATTTCTTCGGTATCTCCCAGCATATGTTAACTAAAGAAAAGTCTATGTGTTACATATAAAATAAATGAGCAAATTATCTTGAGTACATATTTCTATTTCCCCCCAGTATAGCAATCTGGAAGGGATGGGACTAATTTTTCTGTGTGCTGGATATACGGTCAGATAAACTCCGATTTGAAAAATCTTAGTTTGACAGCAAAAACAAATCTTAAATGTTGGAATTTTATTTCTACTGATTCAACTTACACTGATAACTGAATAGTTTTCTCTGACAGTTGAATATTTGGATCGACGGTTAATGAATCTTGCCGTTCTGAAGTTATTATCAGTTCATCACACGGAATGCATAACTAGAAATGAAAATCAGTATAAATGATTATTTTCTTTATAGCAACGAACAAAACGTAACACCAAGGATTGGTTGTTTTCTGTACAGTTTTTTTTTCAACTAGTTTTCGGCAACATTACACAGGCATTTGAATCATTTAATAACCCAGTTGAATGTAATCGACTAACCTGTGAATAACTGATATACGATTCCTTAGAACATTGCGCAATGTAGTGCAGCTTTATAAAAGCTAATCTACTGGACATATTTTGAAAAGTCTTTTAATGCGAGCTGCTATCTGATAAAGTCATAGACAGGATTAAAAACCGATTCATGCAAATAAGAACACGACATATAAGCAGATAATAGTGCTTTCAATCTTCACCAACCTTTCGTCTAATATGCACTAATGTTTACATAAATATGTAGAGAATGTTAGACCAATTAAGGCAAATTGTGAGATAATGGTAACAATACGGTAGGTTGCGTAAGTAATCATATTAACTAATGTGTACATATTGATAGTAATAGTAAATATAAGAATTACAAGATGGATGATAACAGACAAATATTTCAGCTTAAAAATCAGGCTTAAACCTGGAGAACTAGATTTACCAAAATGACCGTGAAAAAGATCGCGTAGTAAAACGTGTGCTCTCTAATGATCATTTTCAATGCACAAGTAGTAGCGATATTTTTTTTAAAGTAGAGAAGCGCAAATAGAAGGATTTGTTGGCAGGATTATTATTTTTTGTTAACCAAGGAAGGTACGACGACATTCTATTAACATGCAAATATACGAGGGCCTTTGTAGGCATCGACACAATACAGGTATTGTGCACATAGGTCTTTTGTCAACCGTACCGCAGAAACAACTGAAGCTGTATAGCGGATTTCGAAAGATTATCTATGACTGGATGGGGGGTTTAAAGGGAAGATCCTCAGGAGTCATATATATGAATTTCGTTATAAAATATACTGCGAATTCAAATTACGAAACCGAAATAATAACCTGGGCAATTTCATTGTCTATGGAGAAACAGAAATATTTTTTATTTTCAATTATTAATGTACTATAAGTCATTCACTCATTGGTCTTTTGATTGGCTACAAACTGTAAAAAGCCGCTGTGTATTATTTAAACAGTAGCTTAAGTATCTTTGGCAATCTTTCCATGGCCGTAAGTGACTTTTTAAGAAACCTCATGTTTTCCATGTTGTTGAAGACATATTACGGTCGATCAATTGATGTCTGCGCAAAATATCACCATGATTGTATCGACAACACTGGAGTCACTTATGTACTCATCAGTCATCTGTATAGATGTTAGTTCGTCATGCAACGTAATTCTGAATTATAAGAAAAAGTGCTAATGTATTGTGACTAGGAACGGTTTCAAAATGCTCTTTTTGAATATACTCATTTTATATATCGAAAATTGGCTTTTTGTGGTCGCGGTTCCCCTGCTGATTTTTTTACTGTACTCTATTTTCTGAACATATTTCAACCCTTCCTATACCAACAAAAGATATTGGTAACTTAATCAATATTTTAGAGCAGACTTCTCTACACTGGTAAAATCAGTATACTTCCATACTTTAGAACATTACACGTAAAAAAAATTTGTTCAGTCTCAACTAAGAATGGAAAATAGTGTGTTACTGATTAATGTGTTTGTTCTAACATCAATTAAGCTGAAGCAGCATTATTTCATGCCGTGTTTTTTAGCAAACATTGTGTAGTTCGAAAGCGCAGATGTTTTTCGACGATTCAATGGGTTGTAAAAAGCATACAATTGTTCTCTTATTTAAATGAAATATGAATCGAACTTTAGTGATTAATCCCCTTGAATTTATGTGCCTTGAAATTTGAACCAACGACCTTAATCGCGATTTCATTGCCATAATCTTGAATGTTGCTTCACATTTGATCTCTTTAATATTCTCAATGACGCTATATTTTTAACTTATTCAGTCTTACATGGAGTCAATTAACAAATAAACAAACACCACTGGTCAGTAAGATCCATATCCAGTCGTTTGAACATACATTCATAAAAAAGCAACTAATTTGAATTATGTCAGTAAGATTTCATGAAGTTACTTTTTAAATAATCGATAAAATCTCTCGTTATACGAAGCAAAAAAGCGCACCACCATAACGTAAGACAAAGAAAATTTATATATATATCAAAATATTATAAAGCGAGGTTAATTAATAAAACAAGCAATAATAATTCAAAACGGAATCTCATAACCTACTTCAATCTTTCCCGATGGATGAAACGTAATGTAATAAACGATCATCATCACTATGCCCATACAAAAACTGCATATCACAATAATAAGAAGAGTGTATGGAGGTAAGACGGTGTTCCACGTGGATGGTTGATTTTTGAACACACTTTTTGGAAGACTTGCATTAATAAATGAATGTGTTACCCACCATAATGACGCACATACCGAGTTTTCAATGCCAAATATTAAGTAACATGATCCATACCACATTCGACTTCGTCCTTCACGAATATTGACCACGTCAAAACAATAAACTGCACCTAATACAAAATCAAAGGTTAGTTCTCCTAACGCTCGTGAATTAGATGAACAAAACGTCGTCCCGCGAGTGATTAACCAACCAGAAGCCAACAACCAATGAATACCGAGCGCTACTACAAACCAAAATCCCTTGACAACGGAGGCAAGTATACCTAGAGCCAGTAATCGTGATGCTAGCACTCCAGCCTTCCAGAAAAAGAAGAATATAATACCTAAGGTCTGGATATTTCCTTTTTCAATACGTGAACTACGTAGAGCAGTTTGGTAGTAGGTTAACGACCACGCCAATGAAAGCCATGAAAACACACATGAAACAAATTGTGCAGTCACTAAATGTCAAAACGTGGGGGAAAAGATAAATTAAAGTTCAAAAACAATAAAGAAGACTTTGATAAAACCAAATAGTTATAGAGGATAGTTGATAAAAGACATTACGAAAAGTTTTTAAGTCAATCCGTAACCTTACTTAACTGTTCACGCGTTGCCGACAAATAGTAGCTTTCTAGTTCCTTTTAAAAAAGTAGTTGGTCAAACATTCTTACCAGTAAAATCCACAGCCACATAATTCTTCTCACGGCGGTTCAGAAAAATAGTGGTCTTTTAGTGAAGGCTTATCAGAAATTTAAATAACATACATTCTTTCATAGACGAATGGCAAAATTTGCTAATGTATTAAAGGAACAAATGAGTATTCAACAACGATAACTACTAACGGATTCTCAATAACAATCTCGAATGTTAGAAAACTGAACAAATAACAAACAAACTAAACGAAAATGAAAATTGGTCGGAAAAGTTGTAAAAAACCACTTGAGGTTCCTTAACAGTAATAGGTGAAACTGTTTCATTGCAAACGGTAACCAATTCATTGGGCTTTTTAACAATTACTATACTATCACATACAAACAGAGATATCAATGAAAAACTTCGTATTAAAAAATAACTATTCTTAAGTCGTGCCAACCCGCAACAAAACAGAAAGAAAAAATTATCAGCAATGTAAAAAACATCGAAACGACGGTCTGAAACTGTTAAATAAATAAATAACAATTTTAAAGATTTCCAACATTCATTAGATAAAGGTGATTACATTTTACTAATTTTTATTCGTCACGAAAGTTATATACCCAGTATGCATCAAATCATAATTTATTCAACATTTATGTACTTACCATATTCACCTAAGTTGAATCATTTACCAAGTAAAGATTTGTGTACTCAACTTTGGGCTACACTTTATGTATGAAGGTTAATGATTCTATCTGGCTGCCTAAAGTAAGTGGAGCGAGGGTCGAAAGAGCGACCAAGTGCTTGGAATTTGAATGTCAACCAATAAGTCACCTCTTCATATTGCAGTGAAGGAGAACACAGGTGAGGACAACCAAATTTATTTGAACACGAAATTGCAGAATATCTCACTAAAATCTGAGAACCATACAGGAAATCTTTATTTTCAAAATATCAATCCATTGTCTCAAACTCGACTGTTTCTTTTGCAAATATCACTCCGTCGTCTCAGATTTCGTTGTTTTTGCATTTTCATACCAATTGCTTTCCGTTCTCGTTCTTTCCTTCTCGATCTACTGAAATACATTCTATTCCCGCCCATTGTTATATACTACTTATGTGTATATAAGTAGCGCACACCACAATATGACAATGACGTCGATCCCTTGTCTGTTTCGCAACAGCCAAACAGTATCGTTTAGATACCTACGCATGAATGCTTACAATTTACGCATATTTCCTACTTCTAGTGGCTAAGACTCATCCAGAAATTGTTCCAAATAAAAATCAAGGAAATACGATACGGTAAACATTATAAACAAATGCAAGAAACGTACTTGGAAGTTTATAGAACGTAACTCAAACATGATAAAAGAAACGAGTGTTGATCATTTTTGAGTCTGTGAAAATGGGTTTAACGAAACTTTCAAGTCGAAATGGAATTTGAAGTAGTTTAACCCGACTTAAAAAATTCACATAACTACTGATGAAAGACTATTCTCTCGAAGCATAAAGAACACTCTATTATCGAATAATACAATTATTCATTAAACTATGAAACGATTTAAGTTAGACCAACATGGAAAACCTGGAAGCAGTGGACGGCCATCACGTCCAAGTGTGTCTGTTCTTCTTTGCAATAGTCACAAATAATATAAGAAATATGGTCTAATGGCAACCGTTAAACTGCAAATTAAAACACATTAGTTTTAAACATAAATTCCCATAATGATTTATTGTCACCTTTATAATTATTACACATAGCGATATAGCAAATGATATAATGAGTAAAATCAAGTGTTTATAAAATATGAATTATGACTGAAAGGCAACATATTCTACATAGTTTTTTATAAGCAACTAACAGGGTCATGACACAGAAATTTACGAAATATCAATAATATTGGGTTGCGGAGATTGTTGAGTTTAAATTGATATCATGAATGGATGGTTGCTAGACCACCACCAGAAACATGGAAGCATTAGACGGCCATTTCGTCCTAGTATGAGACTCCTCAACAGTGCGAATCTATGACTCCGCACGAGAAACTCGAACCAAGGACTTCGGGTCTCGCGGGCGAACGCATAACCTCTAGACCACTTAGCCGGCAATCCAACAGTGTTCATGTCCAAATTCAACCAATACACGATATTGCGCGACCGTCCACCATTGTCTTCAGTGAGTAACTGTGTGAATGGAGGTCCTGGGTTAGAATCTCGCGTGCGGGATCATGGATGCGCACTGTTTAGGAGTCCCATACTGGGACGAAACGGCCGTCCAGTGCTTCCAGGTTTTCGACGGTGATCTAACATTCATCCATTCATGATATCAATTTAAAATATTATTAGCTTCATTATTCTAGGACAGAAACATACTTTGAAATTTAGGTGCAGGATATGGTTGCGTTAAAATAATGTACAACTGTAACAGAAGTTGTGGAGCGGATTCAGTGAAACATTCAATCAAACGAAGCATAGCACAATCAGCATCTTCATAAAGCATCAACTGCGTATATTGTGCAGCTACACGAAGACTTAACCCGGGTTGTCGACTTGCTATACCGTAGTAGATAGCATCAGCTGCCCTAGAAGTGAAAAAACAAGCATAAAAAGTGGAGATAATCACTGTAATACCTTAAGTTAGTCGTATATTGAACTCAACATCAATCTACTTGTTGCTAAACACAGCCCAAGACCCCTCCACCAACAATGACAATATGAACAAAGTCTACAAAAGATGAAAAAATATACAAGCCCTGGCAACAATATCATAACAACCAAAATGATCACACATGAGGGTAACAAACCAAACAATGTACTATTAACGAACAAATTTGGAGAAATCACAACATTATGTCAGACCACTGGCTAGATGCAAATGTGATTAGTATAAACAGAAATAAAGGACCAAAGACCTATACCAATAACTACCGTAGCATCTCATTGGATACAATAGAAAAGCTATTTGCTGGTATTGTTTGCAACAGGCCATCTCAATTAACGGATAACCGGCTTCCACTTACCGAATCCGGCTTTAGAAGACACTTAGCTACCAAGCATGAAACAAAGACAATTAAACACATTATACAACGTACCCTAAACACAAATCAAGTGCTAGTACTCACCTTTATCAAACTAAATAAAGAATTTGATACTCTGCCTAAATAACAAATCATCGACACAATAGTAAAAACACCTAACAAATAAATTGACATGTATGATCAAACTATTAGACAAAGGACACATTAAAGGCACTTATACTTCAAAAGGCAACGAGGAGTTAGGCGAGGCAATAAATAGATTCAAACTCTCTTTAGACTATTCTTCATACAGATAATAATTACGACACAGATCAAGCTATACAAAGATAATGCAGTGTACAATCAGTCAGTCAGTAACAACGTAGAACTTCGTACGTACGTACATCAGTTCGAGTTGCCACACCACATTAGCAGTGTACAATAATTTTAAGAACCATACGATTTTGAATGAACGTTTGTGCATGAAATGCTATGCTCCATGGGTGCACAAGTTGATGGTGATTTTCTTAGAGAGCCACTTCTCGAACCTCTGACCAAGATGTTTAATCTACAATGAAGTTGAAAAACGTTAGATGCCATCTCGTAGCAGTCGATGATCCTATTCAGTTCTCTTAGGATTCTGGATTTCATCAATCCGCATCATAAGTAGTACTTGAAATAGCGTGTAAAATCGAGCAGTGGATATTAAGCTGTTGCGTCACAGTCTCCAACAATCGCATTTGTGCATCAAGTTGTGTTTGCTGTTGTTATAGTATTCGATTGAGCTGGTCATCTGATATTTGCATCTTGAGAGTACTTTCCTTTTCCCCGTCGCCACTTATAATTTCTCTTATTACAAACACAGCTACTCCTATTGTTAAGTACTCTTGGACACTACTTCACTCTACAAGTCCCAAAATCAGAACACAGTGGAACAGAAACGTAACTATATTCCAAATAAAATGGTTGGATTGAAGTAGGAGTCATAATAAGAGAAACGTTGGGATATCTATAGTTTTTACATCAGAAGATTCTAGAGTTTTCTCTAAGTATCCACTAGCGATGATTAGATAAAAAATAGCCCATCAGGGTGCCATAACATAATCCTGCACGGAACGTATTTTAATCCAATCTATATACCGCTAACATATTGATTTTAAATCAAGATTTTACAACTTCCCTAAGTGAACCATCTGTACCTACCAAGCTGGTTGGAGCACCAGAAGTTCACTTTTCATCCCCTCACTTTCACACACGACACTCCCACCACAGGAAAGCAGTGAGTACGCCTTCTATGACAGGGGCTTTGGACGCATGGTTATATGAGAATACTTCGAGAGGAAGAGAGAAATTTTCGTATCAGTGCATTTGGAAGTAGCTAAAAGTAGTGTAAACTAAACCGAAATGACAAATATTTTGACAAAACAAATACCACCAGAAACTATCTATATCATAGCAGAACTAACAAAAAACCAATAAACAAACTAGCATCGATTTGTCCAGTGTCTCTAAGAATCACTAGTCACCTAATAACTTTCGGTGCCTAACCAAAAAAATAACAGTTCCTGAAAACCTATTAATTTGTGGTCAATTTGTCACTCACTGACACTAGATATGGAACCAATACAAATCAGGAAGAGTTGAAATTCGTTTTATGCTAGTCTGAAAAACGGCGAAACTGTACGGGCTTAAACTTAAGAAGTTCAGCTCTCGTGGGAAACTAATATATGAAACACTGAAATATAACTTAATGGCTAAATTACACCGTTTTTGTTGAGACCAAAAGATCATTGATTATATACTAAATGAATTCTAAAATAGGAAGTAGTAGTTAGGCTATATTCCTTGATATTCAAAAGTCATTTAACTTATTTCAGTTTGTGATAAAACCATCTTCACGTTAAGCAAATTTCCATGATAAAAGTTCTTTAACTATTACGAGAAAGTATACGGAAGATAATAAAGTAATGACAAGAATAAAAATAATAAAAACCGTAATCTAAATGAGAACACAACCACAGTACGTTAAATTTTTGGTATAGTAAATCTTACACATCATATGATAAGTAAATATAAAACTGAACCAGAATTGACATTTACTTAGATTTTGAGTTACGACTGATAGTTATAGCAGCTCGCTTGCTAGGTATAAGACAAGAAAGAGCCAACCATCACAATTACTAACTTAGAACGACCACATCATAAACTGACGACAAAAAATAAAGTACTTCCAATACAAACAACTCTAAACTGACATTACTGAATCTCCGGTTCGGAGAATAAATAACCTGAATACAGTGAATAAACCATAGCATATTTACTCCAATTCTTTAACATTAAAAAGTCAGTCTCTGATGGACTCAATCGCTTTATCAAATGAAATAAAAACAAGGAAAGTACGGCTCAAAGTAAACGAACCTCACTAGTGGGGCCAACTGGAGTCCATGAAACAACAGTCTAAACGTCCATGCTCGATAGCTGCGCGGAGGATCAACTCGAACTTTATAGTCAATGAAATACCACGCAAGACTGAAACTGGACATCAAGAGAGCGGGAACAACCATGAAAATCATTGTTAAACTAGACCAGTAGTAATCTTCCTATATTGATAAATAAAAAACAAAAATTAGATCGAACGTTTATAGAAAATATCTTGTAAATAAATTTCTGAACAAAAGGTTATTTTATATGAATAACTCAGATGCTGACAAAGGCGCTTCATTATTTAGAAGTTAAAGAAACACTACCAAACGCTATAAATATGAGTACTATATCTGGTAAACTACTAGTACATTTATGTTCATCAAAAATCTATATCCAGACTTTCTCTGATAAGTTTAAAAATACTATTGAATTCGCGTTCACTCATCGAAATAGAATCAATAAAATTGACAACTGACGTCTGTGAAAGCAATGTCCACAAACCAACCTGTAATTCGTTTGTTTGTAACTGAAACATCATATATCTCGTTAATCCAAGGAAAAAGCACAACTTATCTCTCCAAAGAAATGTTGATACGTATCAAAGTTTAAAAAGGACCCTTTGTTAGCATGAATCACTATAATTAGCACACATAATTCTCTTTCGATTGAAAAACCACATTGAACTCAGAGTCCCCTAGTGGAAATATTTTAACTCTAATATGGCTCAGAAATCAACCTGGTCGTGTAAAAATGTCTTAAATAAGAAGCAACACTTCAAATGACCTGTAAACGCTGGTACTGAAAATAAGGCTTATCTACGTCAGGTTTATATGGACTGTCAAAAAAGACCTTCCCGTGGTTAGAATTGCTATTTAGTAGAAAAAATAAGTGGTTGACTAACTAAAGTTGTAGCGAACGATCACCGTTAACCGTTCGCAAGGCCAGAATATGCAAAGCTTTCAAGCGTCTTCGTGTTTATATCAATTTGGTTATGCGAGGATTGAAGTTAATCACCCAGATTATTTACTACTTTAGAGCATTCGGATTTATAGGAAACACTAAGACGTTTTTGGCCAAATGTATCATTCAGTTATTCTCAACTGTATCCACTGAGTCTTCAAACAGGTTATTTTCTTTACTCTAATTTTCCAAGTTCCTACGATATTTTTAATCACACCGTCGACTTCCGAACGCTTACCATTGTCGAGTAATAGAAAAAAATTACTTCGCATAACATTTATGAATATATATAAATCAAGATAAAATTTTATGCAATATCTATTCTCTGGTTACTGATATATTTAAAATAAACTCGCTAGTTTGAACCTAGCAATCAAGTAATAATGAAAAGTGGAGATGAAGTCATCAGTAACAGGTTCAACAGGCAAAACAAAACTGGATAATAATCCCAAATGACTCACAAACAGTTTAACCTACGAGATTATTATTTTCCTTTAACTTACATACGCCTGTCAGTCAGTCAGTCAGTAACAACGTAGAACTTCGTACGTACGTACAACAGTTCGAGTTGCCACACTACATTAGCACAGAGATGCAGTTGTCGATTCAAATCCCATAGTGGTAGAGGTAATAAGAGTATAAGCAGTAATCGAGAAGATTAGGGTTTGGAGATGTTATTTATAGAGTATAATCCAGTGAAATAAATTTGGAAAGAGGAAAAAAGGGACATGAAGAATTCAGAAGATTAGAATTTGAGAGAACACAGAGAGTGGATGCACCTGCGCCATTGCAAACCATTTTGAGCCATGTCATTCAGGGTCTCTAACCATCGGTTGCTATCATCTTGCAGTCCCCAACCAGGTAGTCTACACCTACCAACATGACTCAGTTCACTTGTCAGTGACTTCATGGACTTGTGCCATGTTTTGGTCTGGCCGCCCCTAGCTTTCTTCCAACCTACTCCTATACCACTGAACATAGCACGTCGAGGCAGTCGGTCGTTCTGCATACGTAACACGTGTCCCAGCCATCTCAACTGATGAAGTTTCACTACTTCATCAATCGACTTTCCATCCTTACCTAGTACCCGTTTCCTAACAACTGTGTTACTTACTCGATGGTCCCATGATATCCGAGCAATGTTTCGAAGACACCTATAATCAAATACTAGTAGCCTACGGATATCCACAACTCTTACCGGCCATGTTTCACTGCCATAAAGTAGGACGGAACGAACTGCTGCACAGTAAACACGTCCTTTGGTTGATAGACGGATATCTCGCCTACGCCATAAATGACGCAAGTTGGCAAAAGCTAGTCGAGCCTTCTGTATCCGTGCTGAGATTTCGTCACACACCAGACCACAAGGGCTGATCAGACTTCCAAGATAAGTGAAGCGGTCGACACGCTCAATTACTTCACTCCCTATCACTAGTTCGGGTGTCGATGTAACCCAATCCTGAAGCAACATTTTGCATTTCGAGGGAGAGAATCTCATCCCGAACATGCTTGCATTGTTGCTTAGAGTGGTCAGAAGACTCTGCATTTTGTCAGCGTCTTCGCCAAATAAAACTATGTCATCTGCATATTCTAAGTCAACAAGTGAACCTCCCGGTAGAAGTTCAACCCCTGGAAATCTAGATGAGGAAAGTGTTATCTCTAAAGGTACGTCAACGACAAAGTTGAACAAGAATGGGGAGAGTGGACAGCCCTGACGAACACCACTTGAGGTAATCAATTCTGATGACAGTTCGCCATAAGCTCTCACTCTACCAGTTGTGTTCGAGTAGAGAGCCTTCATAAGGTTAATGTACTTCTTTGGTACTCCTTTCAATGACAAACACTGCCATAGAACCTCACGATCAACAGAGTCGAATGCCGCCTTAAGGTCGAGAAATACTACCATTGTGGGGCGTCTGAATGTGTGTCTGTGTTCTAGAACCTGACGTAGTGTGAATATCTGATCTATACAACTACGTCCAGGTCGAAAACCAGCCTGATTTTCTCTGGTCTGCTCTTCACGAGCTTTGATTAGGCGTCGAAGTATTATTGAAGCTAATATTTTAGACACTATATTAGTCAAACTAATTCCTCTGTGATTGTCACAAGAGGACTTTTGTCCTTTCTTATAGACTGGCACAATCAGTGATTGAGACCAGTCAGATGGGATTACGTCCAGTTCCCAAATTCTACCTAAGACCACGGTTAATCTCATTGCTAATACTGGACCACCATCCCTAAAAATCTCAGGAGTAAACCTGTCAGGGCCTGCTGCTCTCCCTCGTTTCAGATTTCCTATGGCTTTTTCAACTTCGTAAAAAGTCGGAGGACCTACATTAACTTGCCATTCAGGTTGACTAGAGATCGTGGGAAACCGAAATGTGGCTGAAGGCCAGTTGAACTGATCCCTAAAGTGTTCTGCCCATCGATCCAATCTCCTGGATTGAGAATGAATAATATGTCCATCTTTCTCTGAGATTGTTTCGCTAACAGTAGGTTTCCTAATACCGGTTTCCTTAACGAGTCTGAACGATTGTCTGCTACTACCTATTGCCGCTGCCTTTTCCATCTCTCTTGCTTTCGCCACCCACCACTGTTCGCGATCATTGCGTAGGCTTCTGGTCAGCTTGCGCTTGAGCTGACTCCGCTCTTCATTATGTTCAGAGCCAGGTGGAATGACTTCCCGAGCATCTATCAGTGCGATAGATGCTGCTGAGATCCAGTGTTGCTTCCCAACCTTACGGATTACCGTACTAGCAGATATCACTGCTGTCTCCACAGCTTTTCGGATATCATTCCATGCTGCCTCGGGGTGAGCATCACATACGTGGCTGCCTAACTGTTTTCCTAGTTGTTCCTGAAATATACTCTTAGCTTGACTATCATTAAGTAGGCCCCTAAGAGGTTTTCTTGCAGCGTCTTTCCTACGTCCAGTAAGACGCAAGCAAATACGCGCTCGCACTAGAGCATGATCTGAATCTAGGCATGTGCTCCAGAATGAGCGACAGTCTTCTATCGAGCCCCTCCATCGGTGGCTGATAGCGATGTGATCTATTTGGGTCCAACGTTGGGACGAATTAGGGGGTCTCCATGTTAAAAGATGTTTTTCCTTATGTTTAAAGTTAGTATTTGCAAGGAACAGGCGGTTATCTGAGCATAGCTGCAACAGACGGTCGCCATCATCTGTTCTTTGAGCCACGATGCTATAAGATCCACCTAGGTGTCTCTCCCTTCCGCTTAGTTTACCTACTTGAGCATTAAAGTCACCGGCCACTAATACTACATCCGAGCGCCTAGCTTTTCGGAGAAGGTACGAAAGCTTTCTGTAAAACTCATCTTTTACATCATCTGAGCTGCAGTCAGTGGGAGAATAGGCAGAGACGACGAAGAGGCAACGACGAGTGTCCCTATCTTTCCGGATTCTTACTGTTCCGTTCAGTCGGACAGCGCACAAACGACTGTCTACTGGGATCCACTCTAAGAGAGCTAGTTCTGCCCTAGGACTCAATGCTATACCTACGCCGGCGAGGCCACGGGAAGTAGAATCAGGGCTCCCAGATACACGAAGCGTAAATCGAGTCGGTTCTTTATTTTGGCATGGTGAGGTCAAATGAATGACGCTACTTGGATCCTGTATGCGCGTTTCGGAGACGCAGCACACATCGATGGCGCGAGATTCTAAAGTTTTAGCTAAGGAAGCCTGCTGTCCTATTTGGCTCAGTGTTCGGACGTTAAAAGCTCCTACGTGTAGTTTAGAGCGTGGTTTCAGGAGACCAGGAATGGCGTTCCACGTACTCGAATCGTTTGCCCTAGCGGTGCGAGGTGATAAAGAGACGTGGGGAGGGTTAGTCGGGGAGATAAGAGAGGTATTAGAAGGTGTAGGAAAGATTTGAATGTGACCACCTTGGTCTCTTGTGCTGTTACGGGTATGAGGGCTGATATCACTTCCCGGCTGCCCACACCGTGGAAGGGTATTTCTTGAGGAACCTGAAAAGGAAATTGGATTAGTGTTGGTCTTGACGACCTGGGAGCGTGACCGCAGAGCCCAAGGGACAACTGCTTGAGGCCGGTCGCGCACGGCCTTTTTGTGGAAGATTTTTGACGTGTTAGCTCCGTTCTTCAAAGGGCCTTACCGCCGGAGACGGAAATCCGTGAGGTAAGGTGAGGTGTGACATTTTTAGGGTCGACCTTTTCTAACCCCACCCCTCCTTGTGGGAAGGCAGCATCGCTGTCATGCTGGATGTCCGACGGAAACACCTTACTCCTGTCACACCCCTCTACAGTCAGCAGTACGACTTCGCCCTCAGACCTTGAGTTGCTGCTTTTAGTCTTACCGTTCACCAATCGACCTGCCTGGCATGGTAGAACCTGCAGGAACATCTGTTCCAGCCAATATAGCTCGGTTGGGTCATCACGATAGGCAAGCCCGACCACCGCGTCAAGGTAGCAGCTTCGATCGGGACATACGCCTGTTACTCCTCAGGAAGGAACATAAGCCACCCAACAGCACTCTCCATCTAACCACGTCCTGGACAATCCTTTCCAGTTGCCGTTCATCCTTTTCATGTCCACTTCCGGTTACCGACGCAGTGTGTTCTTCGGCCTTTCACTTCTCCGTTTCCCTTCAGGATTCCAAGTTAGGGCTTGCCTTGTGATGCAGTTTGGTGATTTCCACAATGTATATCCTGTTCACTTCCAACGTCTTTTCCTTATCTCCTCTTCAGCTGGAAGCTGGTTTCTTCTCTCACATAGTAGGCTGTTGCTGATGGTATCCGGCCAACGGACATTCAGTATCTTGCGTAGACAATTGTTTATAAATACTTCTACCTTTTTGATTATGGTTGTGGTAGTTCTCCAAGTTTCAGCTCCATACAGTAGAACTGTCTTGACGTTCGTATTGAAGATTCTGACTTTGATATTAGTTGACAGTTGTCTTGAGTTCCATATGTACTTCAGTTGTAGGAATGCGGACCTTGCTTTGCCAATCCTCGCCTTTACTTCTGCATCAGATCCTCCTCGTCCGTGAAAGATTCCACATCTTCCATAGCTTCTCCATCAAGTGTGATTGGGTTGGTGCTCTTCGTATTGTATTTGAGGATCTTGCTTTTTCCTTTGTGTATGTTGAGGCCTACGGATGCAGAGGCTGCTGCTACACTAGTTGGCTTCATCTGGATTTGCTCGTGTGTATGGGATAGAAGGGCCAGGTTATCTGCGAAGTCCGAATCTTCTAATTGGTTCTGAGCTGTCCATTGTGTGCCGTGTTTTCCCTCAGATGTCGAGGTTTTCATAATCCAGTCGACCATCAAAAGGAAGAGAAACGGAAAAAGTAATCAGCCTTATCTGACTTCGGTCCTCGCTTGGAATGAATCTGTTAGCTGTCCTCCATGCAGCACTTTGCACTGTAGTCCGTCGCATAAACTCCGTATGATATTGACGATTTTCTCAGGTATACCATAGTGTTGAAGTTTCCATAAGGTTCTCCTGTCCACACTGTCAAACGCCTTCTCATAGTCAGTGAAGTTGATGTATAATGACGAGTTCCACTCAACAGATTGTTCGACGATGATTCGTAGCGTGGCAATGTGGTCTGTGCACAACCGATCCTTACGGAATCCAGCCTGTTGATCTCGATGTTGGGCGTCTATTGAGTCTTTTATCCGTTTTAGCAACACTCTGTTAGACTTTCCCTGGTACTGACAGCAGTGTGGTGCCTCTGTAGTTCTCACATTTGCTCAGATCTCCTTTCTTTGGAATCTTGATGAGGTGTCCTTGTTCCCAGTCCATCGGAACTTGTTCTTCCTCCCAAATCTTCCTGAATAGAACGTGGAGCATGTTTGAAGTTACTCCAATATCTGACTTCAGCTTATATATTGTCAGGTCCTGTGGCTTTCCCGCTCTAGGTTTGTCTGATCACCATCTTGATTTCTCCGGTTGGTGCAGTGACATCTATATGAAGGTCTGTGTGTGCTGCTTCGATGGCCGGTAGATTCAATGAAGCTGGTCTATTCAACAGTTTCTTGGAGTATTCCACCCGTCTGTTCCTCTGTTCTTGAATCTCGGTGATTGTCTTGCCTCTTTTGTCCTTGACCGGTCTCTCTGGCTTATCATATTTCCCTGTTAGTTTCTTCGTTGTGTCATATAGCTGTCTCATATTTCCTTCTCTAGCAGATTTTCCCGCTATCATTGCTAGTTCTTCCACCTATTTCTGCTTGGCAGCTTTAATGCTCTGCTTCACTTGCTTGTTTGCTTCCGTGTACTCAGCTTGTGCTTTGACTTTCTCTGCTCGTGTTCGGCTGTTGTTGATTGCTGTCTTCTTGTTCTTCCCTTCTTTGATCTTGTCCAGTGTTTCTATAGAGATCAATTCCTTATGATGATGCTTGTTGCGGCCCATCACCTCCTGACACGTTGATGTTGTCCTCCATAGTAGTTCCATGTTCTTTCAGTAGAACCTGTTGTTGAGAGTTATCTCGAATTCTTTCAGTTTGTTAGTATCTAGAAGGAAGGCTGTATTGGACCTTTGTAATACTGGTTCCCCAGCTGTCCAGTGTTTCTTTAGCTTCAATTTTATACTGGACATAACCACGTGATCTGAAGTCATGTCTGTTCCTCTCCTAGTTTTCACGCCTTCCATTGTCCTTCTGAATTTTTTATTGATACAAATATGATCTATCTAGTTCGCTGTGGTGTGATCCTGTGAGACCCATGTAGCTTTACGTATGCGTTTGTGTAGTAATAATGTACCACCTATAACCAAGTTGTTGAATGGACATAGGTTTGCGAATCTCTCGCCATTTTCTTTTTTCTCACCCAGTCCATGTCGTCTCTTGATATCTTCATATCCGGTGTTGTCTATTCCGACCTTGGTGTTTAGGTCTCTCATCAGGATAGTCGGTTCTTTTCTTAAGTACTTCGTTATAGTTGATTGCAGCCTCTCATAGAACTGATCTTTATTGTCGTCGTTACTATTATTGGTGGGTGCATATCACTAGATAACATTCATCGTAATGACCTCTCTCTTTGTTTTGCATGATGCTTTGGTGATTCTGGATCCGTGAGATTCCCATCCTATACACACACTACGTACTTCTTTGAACAGCATCAGACTAATTCCCTGCGCGTATGAAGTACATCAGCCTCTCTCTCGTATCTAGCCTTTGCTGTCCAGCTTGAGTTCAATAGGCTTCGCTGATTTCCAGCAATGCCAATTTGTATATCCTCACTTCCGTTGTTATCTGGCTGGTCCTCACATTATCCGGACGTTCCATGTACCTGTGAAAAATGTTGCTCTGGTTGTTAGAAGAGGTATCGGCCTCGTGACTTCAGAAGAATCTCGGCTTTCATCCTGAGGCATCATAATTCTCCCTTCAATTCCTAGAGAAGAGTTTCAAAGGTTTAATTTTTTTTAATCTGGTTGACGTTTTTTGGCAGGATTTTTTTCTACGGGATGGGGCTGCCAACCCCATGCCCAACCGTCTTACTTTACCTGGGCATGGGACCGGCAGTAACTCTAGAAGAGCCACAGGCGTAATTTTTCTTTATACTGATCTAAATAACACTGTATTTCTGGTAAGCAATATTTTCAACTAATTTCGACTACGCGATTCTACTACTAGACAGCAGATTGGTGATCCATATATGAGGTGAAATTTCCTCAAGTTAACGCCACTAGACTATTGTCCGCCATAGTAAGAAGGGCAGTCTGCTACAACGTAAGACCAAACACATATGTGCATCGGTCCAAGTTGCCATACCTCATTAGCACAACAAGATGAACACCGGATTTATAGAAGTGGTTAATTCGGTGGTGGTAATATATAAAAGAAAGATCGCATACAAGGACGTAGTACAAGAACAAAGAATTAGTTCGTAGAAAGAAAGACACTTCCAACAGTAAGAAGGTATAGAAAATAGTTTAATTACTTGTCAGAAGAAAAGGTGTAAATATGAGATGCAAACGCTTTTATGAAAGTGAATCACGTGACTAAAATGACATCATACTAACCTGAATATAATACGTATAAACCAAGTATGCATCGGATGCAATGTCTGCGAGGTAACTGATTATAGAAATGAGAAATATCACAACTTGATACCACCGAAATCCATGAACTTTAAGAAACTCTTCTAGTCTTATTTCATCCTCAGGCTGAACAACAGTAGACAATGGAGGAGCACTTGAGTGTGGAGTAACAAAGGAACTGGATGGTTCATCGAAAGAATTTTGTTTCGAAATCGAAGCATCTGTAATATCACAAACAGTAAGTGATTCTACTTTGCTCTTATTCCCCATGAGATTACTGCTGGAATGTAATGTAAATGATGAGTTTTAGTTGATACACTGAATTAAGAAAGTCGGTATCTAAACACGGAAGTAAAATATCAATGAAAGGAGATATTCCAAAAACCCGTAGTAAAATTTATACTCCTGACACATATCAGTATCACCTTCCTATTTTGGTTACATCTCTAATAATGGTTAGTGACGTTATAAGGATACCACATAGTTGAAATAAACGTATGATTTAAACAGTACAATTGTAGTATCCAAATGTGTCGTCAGTCCACGGAATCATTGACAGCTAATCTGAACTATGTAGGTAGCTGCATACAACCTGGTTTGGGTGCGTTTCGTGCGATTATCGCAAATAATAGTTAGAGACTGGGTTAAATGGCTCGTAATTGTTCACAATGGCGTTAGTACATTTACCATCCGTTTTCGTTTAGATCCTAAATTACCTAATTGTCTTTAAAAAAAATTTTCAATTATATGAATCCCTATTTTATCGAGTCATTTCTCTGATCCCCTTTTCTGTTATCACTAATACTGCTACTACTTATACTACTCTGGAATATCCTGTATTTACGTAATGTAGCGAAACATGCACGTCTGTGTCAGGTCCTACGTTACATGTTACTGGCTAACTGTACAGTTGTAGTGATGTGCAAAAGTGCTTTAACGTTTCACTTACTTTTCCGTCGATATAGTACAAAATATTTCTAGAGTATCATTCAGTATTATCTGTGATTCAAGTTTGTGATGTAAATTGCTTTGTGGATTAAGCTGAAAGTGCATCTTTCACTACTCATATGACCAAATACAAAATTCAAGTATCCACTAAAGTGTATTTATTTTAGGAATACCTCGATTCCCGATTATATTCGAATATATTTTTAGTAAGACGATTAAAATAGTCTTAAGTTATATTTTACTTCAACATTATAAGGGAGTTTAAACTGAAATTTTTTCTCCAGAATCTTTCATAAAATTTACTCTGAAAATAAAAAAAGTATCCTTTAAGTATTTTTGGAATGATTCCGACTTAACGACAGCAAATACTCATGTTGCCATCTTCTAAGATAAAGTTTCTGTACCGCAAGTGAGACGATTGTGATCTAGATCACCATAACAAAGTGGATTACAGTTATTATGAAAAGGTAAACGGAAACGCCAAAACTTAAAATTATTCACTGGATTAACACCACTTCCATTGATCTGCGCACCTTGCTACATGGACAACGATCTACACATCAGCAGACTGTTTGACTTAATTGGAACAAAATGAATGGTATATCATAGAGCGAATGAAATAATTGTACATCATTTACGTATTCTACAGTCAGTGAAGAGATATTTGATGCTTAGATGGTTTAGAAAGCTTACAATTGCGATGCCAATGTCAAAGATTAAGCTTTTTCGCCGGAAATACTACTGGCATAATAGTCGAGAGGTTTGTTTGGTTGCTTGGAAACTTGATATAAGCCGTGTAATTTGTAGTTATATTTAGATTCTGTTTACTTAGTTTACTTCTGCTTTAAGTAAACAAGTATTTTCTGTTTTTATAATCGAAATACCATTGGAACACTTTTTTTTAAAATGGAGTGAAAGCATACATTTTTTGACCGTCATGTTGCACAGGGAAGTTAGCCCACATGGGAACTGCTTGCCAAGACCATTTTGTAACCAATACCTTTGATGGTTGCACACAATGTAGGTTGGGCAATCCATTTTCATTTCGATTGAACCTAAACATAACTTGGAGATAGAAATGTGATAGTAAAAATGAAGTACTTCTGGATACTAAAAACAGATGAAATTACACAAGAGTATACATTTCTCATTAAGCACACAAACTGAAAAACTGGCAGGTGTCATTCGAAATATGAACAGCAGACTTATTGCTTAAAAATCTGTATGTATATATCGCTGATACTGCATAGAGTTTGCAGCTCGATATAACTGAGTAATACTCACTAGTCGTGTGAAAAAATGGGATAAACTTTGACAGAATGAAATGCTTGAATGGGTGGCTCTTAAGACGTCTAGTTACTTTATGGGCAGAGAAAATAACAACTTTGGCAAACAGTAGACAATTTAAGGCATACTAATATGTAATACAGAACCAGACTATGTTCAGGTGATCAGATGAAAAGACATGAGCTCCTAAAAATTTTTGAAAATACACTTTGTAGTCTTTTTATCATTTGCTGCTACACTATTCCGATCTCAATTACTCCCATCACGCCGTGCTAATGTAGTATGACTTTAGCCAAGATATATATGTGCCAGGCTCTACGCTGATGGTGTCTGTCTATGGTAGTACCGTATTACATACAAATCAAGATAAAAAAACGACTTTAACTAAGCCAGTAAAGTTAGCTTTAATTCATTTTAATCTAAAATTAATGCTAATGGTGATGGTATATACTGCATATGACTGTAATGACTAAAAGCTATCACAAATGAAGGCCCCTTACTCTTTAACAGGGATTTTCAATCATTCAGTCATCCAAAACGTAAGATCTGAGACAAGTATATATATACTTGGTATACATATATGCATCCGCCAAAGTCCCTACCCTACGATTAAGTGCACCTATCGAGAATTAACAAAAGTACAGAAAGTAATATAAAAAATAATGTAAAGCTAAATATGGACATGGTTGGAAAAAGCGGAAGAAACGATGAATAACGACTACTCTGCAATCTGACTCAATATGCACTGGAAAACGAATAACGAGTGTAACTGCTCCATTGCGACCGATTCAAGGCTGTTTTGGTTAGCGTTTGAGTTTATGAATTGTGATCATACTTTGGATTCCACTCTACAATCCTATTCTATTTACATCGCTCACACTAGTAACCTAAGATTGATGCCAAGACTCAGTTTGGGCGCCACTAATATCCTCCAAAATTAATCCAATGTCAGCCAGCAAAACAGACCAGAGATGACAGAGGCCAGGCTTGCACAACATATGTCTGAACAGCCTCAATAGATGAAAGTCTATAGTCACATTAGTCAACTTTTTACCTGAACCGAACGCCTACCCTGAGCACTACCTCGTGTTATTACTAAACACGACGAATGCTTCTAAAACACACGATCAGACAATTGCAACCTACACAGATCATCTAATTCACAGATTGTTCCGGAGCTACAAAAAAATGTCGTGAAATAAGCAGGGAGACAATATGTGTATCACAAGAGTTGTGAATCGGCAAAAGCTGGACGAACTCTATGCATCTGTTACGAGATTTCGTTAACCGTCGAACCAGTACAGCTGATAGAGAGAGTTCATCCTCCCTCTCGAAGTGATCTTGCATGACCACGCGTATACAGCCACTAACAGGGAAGTCCTTCCCACTGTTTTTTTGCGGCGAGGGTGTTGTTACGAATTTGAGAGGACGAAAGGTGAATATAGGATACCTTAGGGGAGTTGTAAAACCCTGATTCCAAATGAGTGCTGCACATCGGCTTCAGGGTCTTGAGGGAACGAATGGTGTACGAACCTATTGTTGATCAACGGCTAGCATGGGACTGCATCTCACAATGCTGCTCCACCTTCTTGTGGATTGGAACTTTAGATCAAGGGCTCGGGGTGTGGCCCCTTAAGGGACCCTTTAGTATCCACGTCTGGTCTTGCTGGCGTCGGTTTCGCACTAAGCGCTAGAGCTGAGGCAGCACTAACCGACTGGATCCCCGTTAACAGTCGGTTATGTGCTGTTAGATTAGAAAGTTCCATCAAAGTGAGAAGAAATCGGCGTGAGAAACGATGTCTCTTCGTCATCTCCGCCTATGCCCCGACAGATTGCAGCCCGGATGCAACCAAGGATGAATTCTACCACCAGTTGTTAACTGTTCTCCAGAAAGTGCGTTCGACAGATATTGTAGTACTAGCCGGAGACTTGAATGCTCAGGTCGGGCATCTAGGCACAGAAGAGAGTCGTTTAGGTGGCCGATGGGGACTTGTTGGTCGCAGGACCGATAACGGGGACCGTCTACTGCAACTGTGCACAGACCACAACCTGTTTCTGGCTAGCACTAACTTCCGGCGCAGTCATCGCCGACATGCCACCTGGCGTCCTCCCTCTGTATCTCAAGCCTGGACTCAGATTGATCACATCGCGATCAGCTACCGCTGGCGTGGTTGTGTACAAGACTGCCTCTCCTTTTGGAGTACCTATCTGGACTCTGATAAGGCCCTGGTCTGCACTATCATTACATTATTTTTCATTGGCCAACAAATTCAGCGTCCCAAAAAGATCGATGTCACTAACTTGGTCGCAGCCTCTCTTGCGACTAAATATCAAACCGAGCTGACACCCAACTTAAAGTATCACTGGCCAACAATTATAGGTTTTCTTGACTTCGAGGCTGCCTTCAATTCGTTGGATAGGACTGTTCCCTGGGACTGTCTAGTGAGGAAGGGTGTGCCTTAGAAGATTTTGACATCCTGAAAGCCACATACGCAAACACTTCTGGCAGAGTAATAGCATACAACCACCTTTCTCCATTGTTCCATTCAAGCAGTGGGCTTAGACAGGGTTGCCCGATCTCACCATTCCTCCTCAACTTTGCCATCGATGACATTCTGGAAACAGCTCTGATGGATGTAAGTAATGGTGGTATGGATCTGTTGTCTGGAGAAAGAGTTCTCGACGTTGATTATGCAGGTGATATTGTCTTATTGTGCGATGATATCCAAGCCATACAATCCTCGCTTAGTCAGCTTCCTTAGGAACTGCGTGTGCTTTGCACCTTCGAATTGCAAAGTACTTTTACAAGACTGACAGGACCCTGATTCTGCACTCACCATTTTTAATAGCGAAGTCAGTTTCAAAATAAATAAGGACAGTCGGCACGCCTAATAATAAATATGACGCAACAAATCAAGCTGACTGTTGAGGGCATTGGCTAAATAAGTAGTATTCAACTACAGTATACAGATTTTTCACGTTCCTCAGTACATATCTTAATATCAAACGCTATCACAAATCTTGTTGTTCAATTTCTGTTGAATTAAAAACATGAATATATTTTGACGTCATTAAGTATCCTAAATTTTTAAAAACTGCCAGAGTGAAGAAACCGCAAAAACGTGTCGTTGACGTAGGTGTCAAAACCGAACGATATTTCCAAAAGACCCCTTTAGTTAACTCGTAAAGACACCCTGCTTGGCTTGCTATTAATCTTGTCACCGTTTTCAGTTTTGTGCCTCATGTTGTTCTTCCACTCAGGTTTTGATAGATATTAGGTAACTGTAAAGTACACCAGCCATCGCCCCAATAACCTAGTTCAGAAGATTACAGTCTCGGCTTTTTCGATAACATTCCTGCAGGCAGTCACTTTTGAGTATTCTAAACAGTTGTTTAACCTTATGCATCAACTTACTTGACTTCCATCAGTTTTGTTGTCCATTACAACCCACAATCACTGAGTACTTTCATGGACTTACCGTTCGATACATTTCATTCATCGCCATTTTCAAAGCTTGTTACGAAGAGTTTCTTATCACCAACCATTTGAACAGAGGTAACAGAGTCTTAATGACTTTTCGAGTTTGTTTCCTTTCAAACATTGCTTTTTTAAGATTACCCCAAGCTAACCCATGACAAACGTTCGCCATATTTTGCTACCAGTAACTAGTCAGTTCTCCATTAAACGTGTCCTCGACTTTCCTATTTCCGACAGGCGAGATTCTCTTTGTTAAGTTTGGCTTTATGAACCATGCACAAAACTTATTGCGGCTGCTTATGACACGCTAAAAAGGTCCTAGTACAAGTTTCGACCAAACCAAGAGGTTTTTAGCTAATTCTTATACGCCTAACTTAAGTCGTCAAGCCAGCTTCCCCCAAAGATCGACTATCATAGAAATGTTGGTTCAGTTAACGCACAGTACGAACCATATTAGTTCGGTTTCACAGCATATTGGGAACGATGGTTTTAGTGCGTGCGGAGGCAGTAAATTCGTACACGAAACTTGTGATCATACACGAAATTCTCTGCCTCTTAATCACTCAGACATGAGAAAAAGGGTATAGAGGTACGTTAAGTCAGGACGAGCAATGGATTCTCAAACGTAGTTCGCTTCTGTGTTTTTGTACGCCATTGTCCACAATTATAACCGACCAAATATAAATTAACACGATTGTAATGCTTGACTCTGAATTTCATGGATTCACAATGAAGACAAAGTGGTTATAATTTTTCAACATCAACGAGTAATATTGGTAACAACCACAATAATGACAGTCAAATCTAACTAATTAACATAATGGCTTTTAACGTATATGACCGTTAAAGTTGAATACATATTTGTCTCTAATCTCCTCGTAGTGGGAAATTTTGTAGGTGTTTTGGCGAGAAACCCCATAACAATGGATACACAGGCTACTTCCCAAAATCCGTTGGAAATACTGGAGAAAAACTTCAAAAGCAGCATGGCATAGTTGTGTGGACAGGGATTTATTTCTTATTAAATTGTGTGAAGCCTTTAGTTGATAATTACAACGAATGATATTGTTTCTTCATATGATAGAACAAACAACTACATATTCCATCATCGAAATTTTGGCCGCGTTTCAATATGTTATATGTACACGAGACAAAGAAGCGTTTATTTTACACCACTGTTATAAAAACTTAGGTGTATCAAGTTAAACCATCTGCTCCTAGTTCTGTCGATTGTTTTCCCTAATAAACGTAAGTGCACTGTGTGCGCTTGCTTGGTTATTGACTCCACTTTTCTTCTG